TGTTGTCTTGGCTGAAAGTTCTCTTAAGAGTTGTTGTAGTAGACAAAGAGTTTATTGCCTCCGGCTGGAGCTTGTGGGTAAGACTGATGTGTCTATTTGTAAGTTATTTACAATGGTGTTATTTTGCTGATGTGTCATCGCCAGAATAATTCTTAGCAAATATATAAAAATTGACTTATGTTACTAGGTTAATTACATGGTCTGCCACTCATATTAATTTGGTTATACAGTAGTTTATATGAATTGTTATACATAAATCAGCATTTAATTTAGTAAGATATTCTCTTTTTTTTATTCCTTTCCAAAAATACAGCATATTAATTATTATTTAATTACATTTTTTACCAAAAATGTGCTGTCAAAAAAAAAAAATCTACCAAAAATGTATTTTCTCTTATTTCTATTTAAACTTATTTTTATAAAATAAACAAATTATCACATCATCCATATAGTAAAAACAAAATTGTTTATACATGTGTTATAAATCAAATTTTTAAAAATAAATATAAATTACTCAAATAATTAATAAATTAAAGTAAGTTTTAAAAATCTTACATTAGAAATCAAGATATGTAGATCAATAGATGGTTCATAAATTATTATAAAAAACATATATTCTAAAAATAATTTTAAAAGTAGGAAGCTTGGTTTAATTGACATTCATATTAATGTATTCATTTTAATATGGTTTTTAATAGAATCATATAAATTAACCAAATAATAGAAACACTTAAATTTCATTAAAAAAATATTAAAATATTATATCAAAAAGTCAATATATAATAAATATTTAAATATGTTGAAAGAATATAATATTATGAATATTTTAGTTTGTTAATAAAGTGAAAGATTATAAAGTTTTAATTTATACAAACAAAATTACTTGGTTAACAAGTTAAAAATATTTTTAGTAAGATATTATATAATAATTTAATGAAATTTTTGATATTAAGAATATTTTTTTATATCAAAAATTTAATAGTTCATAAATATTAACTCAGTTAGTTGATAGCGTATTAACAATACAAAACTTAATAATATCTAATCTGATTTTATATAATTCTTATCTATATTTAGGATTTAAAAATTAAATTATAATAATTTGCTCCTTGTAAAAAATTGATATTTAATTACTGCTCTTTGCAGGTTAACCTAACTATACAATTACATTCTATGAAACAATATTAAAGTCATTTTTTTTAGTCAACAGCTTCAATTTTCTAGACCGCCTCAGTAAACCAAGCTGGTAGAATTGAGTTTACATAATTAAGATAATGAAGGAATGTCCGAGCACCTCGTGCTAACTTGTCCGTCTTCGTGTTATGCGCGCGTAAAATCTGTGATATTGAGAAGAAAACAAATTTCCTTCTGCTGGTCTCGTATTCCTCCAAATGTAAGGAGAAAGCTAGCCACTTTGTTGGGTTTGATACTATCTTCACCGAATCGGAACAGTCTCTGAGAAAAGTTACCTCTAATCTCCTTGCAACGAGCATGCAATGAATTGCCTAAATCATAGCCTCTAGTTCTGAATGTAGAGGTGAGATACTCCGTCGTACATGCTTTGCACCCAGTAATGTTTCTGTCACCTTATTTCATTGACAGAACCATCACAATTCTGCATTTGACATGTCAAACCCCATCTAGAGACAATCATATCCTAAACTATTAATGGATTTATCTCCGGAGTATCCACTTGTGCTTCCTCCCAGCCATTAGACTCTGCTATTGCTAGCCATACAATCTCTTGTGGGTCACGATCGATATTCGAAAAAAAACTTATCGTTTCGCGTTATCAAAATATACCATAGTAACCATGAATATATCTTCATATCTTCGTGGTCCGGCAAATGCCATAATAAGTGTGCCATATTACAAAAAAACACCCCTGTTGGGAAACTAAGTAATGGTTTAGGAATGCTTGATAAAGACCATACTTGAGCAGCCGGTGGACATTCAAATAATATATGATTTATTAATTCATGTTCGGCCCTGCACCTGCTACATTGAGGATCACAGTTTATTCCTTGGTTCCGAAGATGGTCTGTAACCGGTAAACGACCGGAAATAGCTTGCCATTTTGGTGGACATTTGATTGACCACACATATGCATGTAACCCACTTACATTGGGCCCATAAACTTGTGGTTTAGCGCGCAAATAATGAGTATTGAGTTCCCAAAACATATCCAGATTATACTGTGTATCGACTAGTTTTTGTAAGATTCCAACCCATACTATCCTGTCTCATATGCCTAGCAATTGGCATTCCAGTTATAAGGGATACATCCACTGGTACAATTAACTGTTCGAGTAAGGGTACATTCCATGTTGAAGTGGATGGATTAATCAATTGATTGATTGTTAGCTCCGGGTAAAGATTATACCCCTTGTAGGTTGCTAATCTCGGGTATGAGTCCGAAATCCATGGGTCATTCCATACAGATATGGTAACAATGAATAAAAAATTATTATTTATAAAGACAAACATGTATATTATTTATTTTGGAAAGAAATAATAAGTGATGATTTCAGGGTTTTTTGGTTAAATGATGTATTAAAGTTTTTGAGTAATTATATTAAAAATAAAATTAATAAATTAGAGGGTATAATAGGATTTAAATTAATATAAGGTATAGAATTACAAAAGTTAGTTTAAAAAGTGTAGATGAACAAGAAGGTACAAAAAACATCCTTTATTTCTAATATTCCCCAATCTATTATATAACTAGAAGACAGATCCAGATATGGAAAAGGTAGATAAAGAAAAGTAGATCTAGATCTGAAAAATAGATCTAGATCTGAAAAAAGGATCAAATCTACTCACCATGAAGTATAATGCGAGAAACAGCCACAGATTCGAGAAGAAGACGCGAATGAGCATGTTCTAGTGACTCCGGCGATTTTTCCGGTGGCGGCGGATGGCGTCTCTGGCAATAACTGCAGCGATGGCAGCGGCGGCTCTGAGCACAAATCCAGCGATGGCGATGGCGGCCCCGGCGGTTGCTCCGGTGAGAGATTCCGGCGCGATTGGGCAGAGCTTTGCTGAAGAATTTCTTGCTGAAAATTCTGAAGGGAAGCCTCTCTATTTATACTTAATGGGGAGGATATCTAGGTTAAAACGGATTGGGCCTTGGGCTAATGAGCATTTGTCTGTAAAACCCTTCATGGGCTTGGGTCAGGATGTCACATAGATGCTCAAATATTGTTTGTTTGAACACATTTAAATTAACATATGGATATTACATTTAGATGCAAAAACAAAAATATTAAATTAGCATCTCGATATTTGAGATAATAAAAATAGTAGAATTTAGATGCAGCATTTGCATGTCAAAAATAAAACTATCCCTTAATATCATAGAAAACTAACTAAATTCACATTTCCCATAAAAACTACAAAATTGATTTTAAATTTCAAAATATCATTTTCCTTTAAAGTGGCAAAATAGAGTTTGTTTGTTAAAATTGTACTTTCCGTCAAGTTAATTTTTTTATCAAACTTTATTTTCACAAAAACTGTGAATTTATATAATATAAAAAAAAAATTTTGACTATAAATAAAATATAATTGAATTGAAAAATATACTTTTTTAGTTATTTGAAATATTTTGCATTCAGAACTTTTTATGAATTAACAAACGAATAAGTTTCATCTAAATACAAAACTTAGCTTTAGAAATGAATAATATATAAATGATATATCTACATACTAAATCTAGATGCACTATTCTAGATTAAGAAACAAACATAGCCTTACTTGAAAGCATTGAAGAGATAGTAATAAGTTTATTAAGTCTTTTAAGTGTTGAAACTATATGGTTTATATCTTTGTATTAATGCAACAATAATGAAAGGGCTTCAACTCTTCGAGCAATTAAAGATTTTAACAGCAAACATAGCGGATGTTTTGATTCTGGAAAGTATCCAAAACATGGAGTGGTTGGCAAGTAGTATTCCAGGTCTATGTCTACAGAATATGTCAGAAACGATTGTATGGTTAAGTACGGCAGCTCTGGGTGGTCTTCAGTGCCTTGATTTTGTGAACTGCAGAGTCTCAATGATAATGATTGTTTGTGAAAGAGAAGAAAGAGAAGAGCTTCAATGTACAAGTTCTCAAGTTGTCAAGCATCTCTCCTCAATTGGAATATTCGGTTTGAAAGGTTCAAAGGACTTAACCTGGCTGTTTTTCGCTCAAAATATCAATTACCTAACTGTGAGGAATTCACCAAGGATGTTAGAAATAATCAATAGAGAGAAAGGAATTAGTATTAGCAATGTGCATCCCGATATTGTTGCTCCCTTCGGGAACCTTAAACCCTTAACCTAGGTGATGTAAATGAATTAAATAAATTTTTCTCGAATCCTCTGAATCTTCCAAACTGGAGAAAATTTGTTATCGAGAACTGCCCAAATCTGCCAATGTTGCCACTGAGTTTCCAAACTTAAGAAAGTTTGGAAGAAAAAAGCTATTTCATATGTGTGAGTGTGAATGTATCCCTTCAGTTCTTAATTTGGTTTGGTTTTATGTGCTGCTTTTGCTTAATTTTTGTCAAGTTCCATTTCTCAAAGTTGGCAACTTTAATTTATGAATAGTGTAAATTTAATGACTTGTTTGGTGTATTCTATATGTATCTCGTCCACTTTAAAAGCAGTAGCTTTTAAGTTGAGTTGCGGATTCTGCCTGTATGATCAGACTCAGAGAAGAAGTAAAACAGATACATAAACAATATAGAGGCGAGACAAAACAAAAAGAAACAAATGACTCGAGGACACAGTTTCACAAAGTTGTTTAAATCGAAATCGAGATGACTACACAACCCATTTAGAGCCATTTACCTAACATAACATGAATTTAATGACATATTAAGAGTATTTACATTAGTTCTCGACAAACAATTCAGCTGATGTATGTGATATGGAGAGGGAGTAAAAATAAAAACCGAAGACCTTTGGAATCAAGTGTTATTAAAAATTCAAACCAGAAGAAAAATTCAGAAACTGATGTTGTAATAACAGTGGAACCTACATGACAGCAACGGTTGTGATTCACATATTTCTCTCTGTCAATGCAACGGTTAATCTTTACACTATATTTATTAAAAAGGCTTTGTGATCTTAAATCTTCTATCTTCCACAATAATGGAATTTTACCTTTACCTTGGAACTGTTGCTACTACAATCTTCATGCTTTTGGGTACAATATTGATCTATATGGTTTATGGAAAATTCAGAGACCATGAAAACAAAATAATTTATTCTCCTCCAACTCCGGAACCTTCATTTTCTTGCAGCCGAAAGCACGATGTCTTCCCATGTTTCCACGGGGCAGATGTGCGCAAGGCCTTTCTCAGTCACATTTTGAAAGAGTTCAGAAGAAAGGGGATCGACATATTCATTGATAATAATATCGAGGAGAGCAAGTTGATTGGTCAAGAACTCAAAGAAGCAATCAGAGTATCCAAGATTGCGATTGTCTTGCTCTCCAAAGACTACGCTTCTTCGTCCTGGTGCCTGGATGAATTGGCTGAGATCATGAGGTGCAGAAAAGAATTGGATCAAATAGTGATGGCCATTTTCTACCAAGTAAATCCAACTGATGTAAAGAAGCAAACCGGAGATTTTGGGAAAGTCTTCAGAAAAACTCGGGTGGGTAAAACAAAAAACGACATTAGGAGATGAAGAGAGGCTTTGGCAGAAGTTGCCACAATCGCTGGAGAGCATTTAAACAACTGGTTAGTTCTTTTTTTAACTATTGAATTTAGTTTTAGAAAAAGAAATAAACAATTATGGTAATTTTGAAAACAATACTAGTGAAAATATTTTTGAAACAAAAACTTTTTTAATGGTATTTTTGAGAATTGCCTTTTAAATAATATCCATCAAAAAAAACATGTATATTAATTCCTAAAATGACTATATAGTATTAATTGACAAATTCTATTTGATCTTACCTTTGATTGAAATAATGAACCGGCAATGATCAAAAAAATCTTAATTGATATTTTGAACAAGTTGAATAATTCAACATCATTAAGGGATTTTGACGGTTTAGTTTTTATGAGAGGTCATTTTGCAAAAACCGGAAATGTTGCTGTGCTTAGACTCAGATGAAGTGAGGATGATATGGATTTGGGGTCCTTCGGGGATTGGTAAAACCACCATAGCCAGATTTCTGTATAACAAACTCCCCACCAGTTTTCAGCTAAGCGTCTTTATGGAGAATATCAAAGCAATTTATACAAGACCAGCTTGTTCAGATAACTACAGTGCGAAGTTGAAACTACGACAACAGTTTATGTCAAAAATAATCAACCATGAAGATATAGAGATTCCTCACTTACGTGTTGCACAAGAACGTTTGAATAACAAGAAAGTGCCTGTCATTCTTGATGACGTGGATCAGTTAGTACAACTAGATGCCTTGGCAAAAGAAACTCGGTGGTTTGGTCCTAGAAGCCGGATTCTCATCACAACACAAGATCTGAAACTTTTGAAGGCACATAGGATCGACCAAGTTTACAAGGTGGACCTTCCAGAAACCGATGAAGCTCTACAAATCCCCACAAGACGGTTTGACAAGCTTAAGAGGGAAGTTACGAGACTTGTCTGTGAGCTCCCTTTGGGATTAAGGGTCATGGGCTCCTATTTCCAAGAAATGTCCAAGCATTAAGGACTGGCCTTAATGGAGAAATTGAGAGGATTTTGAAGTTCAGCTATGATGCATTATGTGATGAAGATAAAGCTTTGTTTCTTCATATAGCATGTTTTCTCAACCGTGAAAATATAGAGACACTGGAAGATTCTATTGGGGAGACATTCTGGGATGTGGCACAAAGGATTCACGTCTTATCTGAGAAGTCTTTTATATCTATCATCTTGGGATTTGTAGAGATGCATGATTTACTAGTACAACTTGGTAGATAAATTGTTCGTAAAGAATTTGTCCGAGAGCCTTGGCAAGGCCAATTTTTGGTTGATGCTAGAGATATTTTTGAAGTACTCGCCTACGATAATCCAGTAAGTTTTAGTCTTTCATTTGCATCACTCTTTATACAAACTGAGTTTAATTATTTGATAACTAACCTTCTTAAATATATTTTCACGGTGGTAGAAGTGTTGTAGGAATAGATCTCAACTTGTTTCAGAATAAGGACGTATTAAATATAAGTGAGAAAGGTTTTTGGAATGTCTAATCTCCATTATATCAGATTTAGAGATTTTGGTAACCGAGACAGAGTGTGCTTACCTCAAGGTCTGACCTATATTCCTCGAAAACTTCGATTACTAAGTCGGACCTTTTTTCCAATGACCTGTTTGCCTTCAAAGTTAAATCCAAGCTTGAGAAGTTATGGGAAGGAAATCAAGTAAGTAAAACTATTTCGGATCTCTAAATTGTTTTTTCGAGTACAATTATTAAGCTCAATAAAATGTTGCCTCTATTCTTTAAAAAATTATTTTTAGGATGTTTTTCCTTTCAAATAAATAGATGTTTTAAGTTCTCTCTATACATTTTTCTGAGTTAATAATGATATATTGTAAATTTTAAGAAAAAAAAATAAATTTATTGAGTTACTATTGATTTAAATTCAAAGAGAAACGTTAAGCACAAAAAAATAAAATATTTATTATTGAGTTTTAATATTTTTTTTAATATGTGTAAAAACTTCAAAATATCTTTGTTTTTTTAGGAATCGGAGGAATAGTTTTCTATATTTTCATATAAATTTGTAGTTTGTTGGCATAGAAGTGTGTTTTTATATGAGAGAATTGTTTCTTTATGTTGTTCACTACTAGGGGTATTAAACATGTTGGTTAATCTTTATTTGTTTGTACAGCCCATACGAAATCTCAAGTAGACGAGTTTGAGTAATTCAGAGAATCTGAAAGAGCTTCCTGATCTGTCTACTGCAACTAGTTTCCAAGAATTAGAACTCGAGAGCTGCTTAAGTCTAGTGGGGTTACCCTCTTCTATTGGGAATGCCACCAACCTCAAGAAATTGAGTCTCCGTGGATGATGAACAAGTTTCTTAAAGTGGATGCACAAGTTTCTTAAAGCTCCCTTCTTCTATTGGAAATGCTATTAATCTGCAAAAATTGAATCTTAGTTAATGTTCAAATCTGGTGAAACTTCCATCATCTATAAGAAATGCCATCAATCTTTAGGAGTTGTGCATTATCCATTGCTTAAGCATGGTGGAATTTCCCTCATCTATTGGAAATGCTACTAATCAAAAAGAGTTGGGTTTTACTCATTGCTCAAGTTTGGTGAAGCTCCCTTCGTCTATTGGGAATGCCACTAGAAACAAGAAATTGTCTCTTTATGGATGCACAAGTCTGGTGAAGCTCTCCTCCTATATTGGAAATGCCACTAATCTCCAAACTCTAAATCTTGGTAATCTCTCATGTCTCATGGAGCTCACTTCCTTTGTTGGAAACTTCCATAAATTTTTGGAATTGCGTTTCCATAGATGCAAAAAGCTACAAGTTCTATCAAACAACATCAACTTGCAATCTCTTGGTGAACTTGATCTCACAGAATGCTCCTTGTTAAAAACCTTTCCTCGGATCTCCACAAACATTAAACATCTCAAGCTCAGAGGAACGCTGGTAGAAGAAGTGCCTTCGTCCCTCAGGTCATGGCCTCCTCTTGATGACTTGCAAATGTCATAATGTGAAAACCACAGTGAGTTCCCACATGTTCTTGAGAGCATCACAGTGTTGCAGTTGAGTGATATAGATGTATGAGAGATTTCTTCATGGCTGCATAAATATCTCGTCTACACCGGCTAAAACTCAGCGGATGCAAGAAACTAGTATCACTCCCACAGCTTCCAGATTCACTATTAGTCCCTTGGGAGACAAGATTTCTTCTTCTACAATCCACGTATCAAACATCTCAACTTTACCAGCTGCTTCAAACTGGATAAAGAAGCGAGAGATCTCATACACCAGCTCGTCACTATTCCATCTTACCAGGTGGAAAAGTTCCTACATACATCACTTACCGAGCCATGGGAGGCTCTTTAACAGTGAAGTTAAATCAGAGAACTCTTCCTACATCTATGAGATTTAAGGCTTGCATCTTTCTCGTTTATAAGGGTGACAATGTTGCTGGTTATAAAGAAAGTATGCAGGTGTCTTATATCGTCATTGAAAAACAGAATGATTTCACTTCTAAGAGTATTTGTTGGAACCCTTTGGGAAGCTGGAATCTCTTAAAATGATTGATTTGTATAAACTTAAGAGTATTTGTTGGAATCCTCAGGCTCTTCCAAAGCTGAGAAAGGTTTGCTGTCAAAAGGTGTTCAAAGCTGCCTAGAGAAATGTATATGAGGAGGAAGAAGATTCATTTTATAAAAATAGAGCAGGAGTATACAGATGAAACTGGGTTAAAGAGATTGGTTCTGTTGTTTGTACATTTTGTTATCAAAGCATATTTGGTTTCTTTAATTTGTGTGCATTTTGGGTAATCGTGTCAATGCTTATCTCTTCTTTTGTCTAGCTAGTTTATGTGAGTCCTAGTTATGTTTCTTTATTCAAAATCTTGGATTTGAAATGAAAAGTTATAATAAAAACGAAGATTGTGTAAGAAAGCGTAGACTAAATAAATCATCATCCTGTTATTGGTCCATTGATTCTGAAATTAGTGTCGTTAGCATAACACAATTTTGAAATATTGCCATGTTTACAATGCAGGCAAAGCATCGACACAATGTCTATATAGTCTCATCTCTTGTTCTGGTACATTGTTTTGTTTCAATAACGATGGTTACGATTAGGATTAGGCCATTTATTAGAATTAGGATCATGTTCAGATGTCAAATTTCTTCTGAAAATCAAGAACCACAGAAAAGTTTATTGTACACAAATTATGATTACAAAAATCAGCTAATTTAATTCCATTTCTTTCATTCTCTAAGCTTTGAATCTTTGTATAGCCATTTATTCACACGCAATATCGCATTTACTGTTCTCTTGCTTGGTGTTGTTTGTAAAGGCATGCTCATGATATTGATGATCCTGAAAAAAGTGAACGGGAAAGGTTTGGTTCTGACGCAAGTCACCTTCTCTAGAACCCTAACTAGCCATTAAACAGGGTGTGTTCGACCCAAACAGCTTGCAGATCCATGAAGTTAGTTAGATTTGAAAAAAAGGAAAGAAAATATATGTTGTAGAGAAGATTGACAAATACATCCAACAAAGATATTCAAACTTTTCTAACAGTTTAAGTTGGATTTTTTTCCCCTAAAGTATGTATCTCCATTCTCTGGTAGGATTTGAATGGAAAAGATGTTGATGAAACCCTAGGAATGTTTTTCAACTCCTCATTCAATCTCTCCTTACCTTCAACACTGAAGGTGGATCTCAAGCATATTGTTGCAGTCTTTAAACATTTAGAGTCTGGTAGGATGTATGTCAACAAATCTTTATCTTCTTGTCTTCCTCCATAACCTCTCCACTCAAATAACTCGAGCTGTGACGACAAGCATCCTGGAATAAAACTTGGTTGGTACCATGAAAGTGGGAGATCCTCGGGTTGACATGTATATACCTGTGAAGCAACCACCAATTAGTCATCTTTCTTTTTTTTGGGGGTTGGGGGAGGGGAGAGTTAATACTTAAAATCTAGAGGAGGAAGAGGATACTTACATAATCAACTAAAATATTTTTTAGTGTTGCAGCGTTTCCAAGCAAAAGTATGAACGGTTCCAACAAGTTTGATTCATCTGGACATATTTACAAGTCGAGAGAAGGTGATGGTGCTACAACACACGAGCTGCAATGAAACAAACAAACAATGTAAGTCGAGTAAGTACTATTTGAGAGAGAGCGAGAGAGAGAGAGAGAGAGAGAGAGAGAGACTATTTCATCAGAAAAGAACTCAAGAGTCTTGAACGAGAAAATAGGTCTTAGAAACTTGTCATCACTGTATGTATAATCACTGATAGTTGCTGAAACCAAAGGAGGCATAATCTCGATCGAGCAATACTCTTTTGAATGATCAATGAAGATAAAGCACTTTAATCTTGGAGTATCTATCATCAAGCAGCTGTTGCCATTATCTCCTACATCATTGTCATCTCGAAATTTTAAATACGCGAAAGAAATTAAAGAAGGCACTTTCACACAAAACATCGTCACATTGTCATGCTTGACTCGTTTCACTTACAGAAACTCGAGATTAGGACAGCTAGATAAGAATCTAACTACAGATTCATCGTCTTTATAGCAAAGGTGAAGACTTTTCAGGGATGGGAAGGAAGCCGGAGAAGGAACATCCACGAAAATCTTGTGGGAGAGATTAAATACCACGAGAGATTTGCACAAGTAAAGGCTCTTAGGCAAGCTGACCGGATCTATGGGCCAACGAAGCTTGAAGATCCTCCACGCCGTGATTAACAGCGTTTGTAACCCACTTTACGACATCAGCATCAGTAGTGCACCATGGACCTAATTCCATACATCAGCATCAGTAGGGCACCGTGTATTCTAGGTGCCTTATGCAGTTGCATTGATTTGTCAAGAAACCACCAAACGTTCTTTTTGTTTTCTTCATGACCATTACCATCATCGTTATCCTCACAATCAGCACCAGCACCATCATCATCCTCATTCCCCAACTTCTTCATCATCATCATCATTATCATCATCAAAGTTGCTGTCTTTGTACTCGAGTTTACCTAACATCGTCCAGATAAAGAGCCATTGTTTCGATAGAAACATTGTGGCTACTGCGTCTTTTATTGGAACAAACGAAAATACCCTCAAAAGTAAATCTTCGGGTAACTCACTAATCATGTCTTCACAAACTCTATCGTCAACTCTTCTTCAAGTTTTGGCGGTTTGTGACATCTTTAGATCTTCACGAGTCACGAGATAGCAGAACCCTTATATTTAACGAAAGCAAAAACTAAACTATTTCCCTACTGCAGTTTGCAAGTAACGGTTTTAAATGGTAACACAGTTTAAATAATACAGACTAACCAGATTATGCAGATCAAGCATAACAAATATAAATTAAACAAATAATTTTATTTTATTTAATAATATAGATCTACAAGTATTTATTTGTTTTACATCAAGGGATTTCTTTGTATGTATAGATTATAAAATGAACAAAGGTTTTTTCTGCATGCATGAGATTTAGATTTTAATTATTAATTGTGTGTGAATAGTGCAAAAATTGCAGATTGTTTTGCATTACGAGTTTTGATGCATTGATTTTTCTTTCCCATTCAAAGTTTTAATTTTATGATCTACATTTAAAATGAAAGCTCTTTATAGAAAACACAGAACATGAATACTTACAGATCTATATTTTTAATACAATATTATTATTTATTTGATGGATATTTATAATATATAATTTGTTTAATATGTATTTGTTATGCTTAATATACATAACCTGATTGATCTACATTTTTGAATTGTATCATCATTCAAGTTAATAAGAAACAGAGAGGAGTACATGTATGTGGAAAAGAAAATTGAATGAGAAAGATGAGTATTGAAGAAACCAATATAACTTATGTAATGAATTTTAGGGAATTAAACTATATATTAATGTTACTGTTAATACAATTGTAATGTCTTTACAAACATGTTCTTATTTTTATTGTGCTCTTAATAATAAATCAAAAACAAATATATCTTTTACTTATAAAAATTGATGTTATACGTCTCTAAAGGTGTTCATATAGGATTTAAAAGATTCAATTCTGTTGGTACACATCATCATCTATAGTTAACTATATATATATATTAAAATTAATTAATTTTATTTTTATTGTTATTAGGAAAATCTCTAAATTTTAATTAAATTTGATTTATATTAAAATTAATTTTGTTTTTATTGTTAGGAAAGTTTTTATTTATAATAAAATTAAGTTTTATTTAATTTTGTTTTTTTATTATTAGGAAAGTTTCTAAATTTTAAAGTAGTTATTAATAATAAACATAGAAAGTAGAGAAATTAGATCTTATTTTTTTATTAACAGAAAAGGTAAATTAACATATTAATAAATTATTACAGAAAAATTATATATATTTAACAAAATAATTAAAAATTGTTCTTCATGAGCAAATTTCGAAATGCTACGTGGAGATCTGATTGGTTGTCGGACCGGCGGGGGAGATTTGAACTTTGGGGGGATGGGTCAGCCTACAACGAGAGAAAAAGAGAGAGTGTGTAGCATCTGTATCCGAGAGAATTCGGAAAGATCGAGCTGGACAGGGCATTGTCTGCATAATGATCGAGCCAAGGATGGATATTGGCTGGGAACTGGGAGGTTCGGACTATAGTCGGGTGATGACTGGGAAATAGTCGGATGGATGGCTGGGATAGTCGATCCGGATGGACCATATCCGAGAAAAAATGGTCCAGTCCGTGAGAAAATGGGAATTACCCAAGTGAGAGTGAGGTTAGTCCGAGTGACAGTGGACTGTCTCCGAGGAAAAAGAAAAACCTCCGAGAGAAAAAGAGGATTAGCCGAGGTGGGATGAGTTTTCCGAGAGAAAAGGGAATATCCGGGTGGAAAATGAAAATAACTCGGATAATGGCGGTTTATCCGAGAGGGAAGGGAATTGGACCGTGGGCCAAGTTTTTATCGGCTATTTTGTTGGTTTATCGCGTGGATGGTCAGTCGGTATGAGAAATAGCCGAGACATATCGGATCGGTTCGGGATAAATCGTACTGAAACCAGGAAAACGTCGGTTAAGTCTGAGTTACCTAGGGTTTTGTGAGGATATAAGGATTTTTGAGACTTAACTGGAGGGTATTGCGTTTATTTGAGCTTAATAAAGCAAAGAGAGAGTTTAGTCGAAAGAAAACCCTAAGAAAAGCAGTTTATCCCAAGGACATCCGAGAGAGATCGAGCTATCGCTGAGCAGATCCGACCATTGCCGATATAAATCGGTAAGCGACTGAATAATTCCCTAAGTATCGAGTTTCTATCGGATAACCTCGAGCTAATAGCCTTGTTTTGTGGGGTTTCCGAGGGTAAACAGAGTTTAGCTCGGAGAAAGGCGAACGGATCGAGAGATAGCCGAAAGAAAAGGGATCGGATCGTACGGACAACCAAGAGATTCCTAGGGTGATCGGATATCTTCGGTTCCACGCAGATTTCATCAGGATTTGTTCTAACCAATCTGTTTCCAGCCTTGTTTAAGGTGAGTGCGTGACTGTGGTTGGTGTCTAGAATCGTTGGATTGCTAGGGTTGAATGTTTTGCAGTTTTGATTATGTGATTGTCATGTTGTGTGTTTAGAACTGTTAAAGTGATTATGTGTTATGGTATTGTGAGGTGTTTACCATGGCATAGATGATGTCTAGCTAACCTCAAGGTAATCCGGATCATGTACTAGCTTAGGGGATGTGGGATTCTCGCTGAAGTAGACATGGGTCTTAAAAACGGATTGATCTTGGTTGGTTAGGTTAGATGATCATGACTGTTTGATATATATGTTATGTCTATTGCGAAATATTGTGTGGGATGTTGAATCCGTTAGTATGAATGCGTGAATGGTACTGACTAGGTGTTACGGGATGACCGTACTCACTAAGTATTTATCAAATACTTAAGCCTCTCTTCTTGAGTGTGCATGTAATAAGCAGTAAAAGGAGCGAGACCAGGCGGCAGTGATGGACATGGATGGATTGGGGATTGGGTGTTTATTTATGTTTGAAACGTGTGTTTTGTCTTATGGGCTTTGGTGTTAAGCGTTTTAGGTTGCTAGATGATATGATGTATTCATGTGATTTGTTTAAGTTGACCCTGAATCTGATTAAGTGTTTTTAGGTAAGTTTATTAATGAAATGAGTTATTTTTGAATCCGCTGTGTATTGGTTAAACGAAAGAAAAAGATTAAAAATTTGGCTAGGTATAGGACCGAACTATTATGATGTAGTGGGGCACAGTTGCGGTATGGTTTGCCAGGTCGGGCTACCACAGAGAGTCTCGATGAACAAGAAAGGGGTTGCCCTTCCGATTATGCTCTGACGCTTTAGTCAGAAAGGACACATGACTAGACGGAGTGTATAGAGATATCGGAAGAACTAAGAAATGGAGCGCTCTATCAACTCGGAGAGATATTGATAGAGCTTTTAAGGACTTTAGTTCTCTGGTGAAATAAAGCTAGAAGATCAAATTATCGCTCTAGGAATTCTCCTCCCCTCGATGGTGCGAGGAGTGGGTTTTATAGTGAATACCTGGTTTCGGGTCGGACCCGGGTCTGAATCATTTAGTTCCCCGGATCGGGTTCCTACTACCGTCCTTTGTCATCATATTTGACGTGTCCAGACTCTTCTATGTATGCAGCCAGAGTGGAGGCTGCCGAACTGCTCCGCCTCTCCCTAACTGCCATCGTTGCGGTCTTCTTTGGTAGGCGCAAAGTATTTAATGCTCCTCGGGTTCCCGCTGCATCTGTTGCCTATGCATTGGGCCTCGTGGGCCGTAATGACATTTTGCAGCCCAACAGTTGCCCCTGACTTGCGGAGCTCCTTCAGGAGGTTGGAAAGTCTATCGTGCACATGAAAAAGGGTGAAAAGCCGCGAGGGGCAGGGTCGGACATCATCTTTGCCAAAGAGAAAATCTTGTTACGGTTGTGTAGTTGTTTTGTAAGACTCTATTGCTGGATCTTCCCGAGAGGTTATCTCTGGAAGTTACCCGGAGGGGGTGCCCCGGGAAGCTGTCTTGGAAAGACTGTTCCCGGAAGAAGTTCCCTGGAGGGCATGCCCTTGGAGACTGTCTTGGAAAGACTATTCCCAGAAGAAGTTCCCCGGAGGGCGTGCTCCTGGAGGCTGCCTTGGAAAGACTATTCCCAGAAGCTGTCTTGGAAAGACTATTCCCAGAGGAAGTACTCCGGAGGGCATGCTCTGGAGGCTGTCTCGGAAAGACTATTCCCAGGGAAAGTTTCCCGGAGGGCATGCTCCTGGAGGCTGTCTCGGAAAGACTATTCCCAGAGAAATTTTTCTGGAGGGCGTGCACCTAGAGGCTGTCTCAGAAAGACTGTTCCCGAATGAAGTTCCCCTGGAGGGCTGCTCCTGGAGGCTATCTCGGAAATACTGTTCCCAGAGGAAGTTCCCCGGAGGGCGTGCCTGTGGAGGATGTCTTGGAAAGACTGTTCTCGAAGGAAGTTCCCCTGAGAGCGTGCCCCTGGAAGCTGTCACGGAAAAACTGTTCCCGGAGGGCATGCCCCTGGAGACTGTCTCGGAAAGACTATTGACGGAGAAAGTTCTCCGGAGGGTGTGCCCCTGGAGGCTGTCTTGGAAAGACTGTTCCCGGAGGAAGTTCAACGGAGGGCGTGCCCCTTGAGGCTGTCTCAGAAAGACTACTCCCAGAGGAAATTCCCTGGAGGGGTGTGCCCTTGGAGGCTGTCTCGGAAAGACTATTCCTAGAGGAAGTTCCCCGGAGAGCTCGCCCCTGGAGGCTGTCTTGGAAATACTATTCCCGGAGGAAGTTCCACAAAGGATGTGTCCCTGGAGGCTATCTTGGAAAGTCTGTTCCCGGAGGAAGTTTCCCTGAGGGTGTGCAATCTGGTTTCTTGGACCAAGACCCTGAATTTCCGGGTTCTGGGCCCCACCCCAACTGATGTGCCATAGGTGGGTCCAAGTCTGCAGTTGAGGCGTCGTACAGCGAACGTCTGCCTTTATGAAGGGGAAGGATTTTTTGCATATTGGTCCATGGATTTTCTTATCTTTCTTTAGCGGACCACCTCGATTCCCACAAAAGGTCTGTCTTTTTTGCTAGGACGACGAGTTTGCTTTTGGCCCCTTCCTCTTCTGTGTTGTTCATTATCCTCTTTCACAAGCCGCTTTCTTCGCCGTGT